GAGGCACTGGAGGTACACAGAAGTTAAGTAACTTGCCCAAGGCCATAGAGCTGGAGGATGCCAGAGCCAAGAGTCAAACCCAAGTAGCATGGCTCCAGTCAGCAACCCAAGCCATTTTATACCAGCTGTGTATGAAAAGAAATGTGAAAGAATAGGACCCTAGAGGGTAACACGGATGCTGCTTACACACAGGGTGAGCAGGAAGGGTGTCCCTGAGAAAGTGACATTTGACCCAAAGGTGGGAAGGGACCATGGCATGCTGACACATGTGGGAAGGGGCTCTCAGGCACAGAGAACAGCATGTCCAAAGGCTCTGAGGTCGTCACTCTGTACTATTCAGTTAGCAGGGAGCTCCTATCTCTGAGGATAAGCACTCACTGTTCTGCCTGTGAGGAGGGCTGTTCCCTCTCCTAACAAACTCTATTATGCAATCAAGTCCCAGTACCTCCCAGGCAGAATTAATTCTTCCTCTGCATGATCCAACACACCAAGGAACCTGTCTGCCCTTGTAAATCTAGCTCTTCTCTGTGGGTTGTCAGCCTCATACCCTTCTGCCCTGTACTGTTTGTGGGGCCTTGAGAAACTTGCTCAACTTCTCAGGGCCTGTTTGTTCATCTGTGAAATGGGGATATCTGACTCTTGAAATCGAATATTCTCAAAAATACATCTACCTTCATAGGCTTTCATGAGGTTTAAATGAATGTGTCAATATATGAAAAGGACTTTGAAAAGTTTCTTTGGCCATGGTAATCCTCCAAGAAATGTTAGCCATTAGCTACTGCGTCAAACTTCTCCCTCCCCCTAAACACTGTTGAAACACCATGGCCTATGGCCTACACCACCTGGCTTCCATCACCTCTGTGGCCTCATTTTCTATTCCTCCCTTTACTTTGCTCCAGCTATACTGGCCTCCTTCATGGTCCTTGAATGTAGCAGGCACAATCCTACCCCCCAGGGCCTTTGTACAGCCTTTGGCTGTTCCTTCCGTCTGGTAAACTCTTTCCCTTTCTAATGTGCCATGTCCTATAACTTTGATCACCCCAATTCTCTAGTCCTATCTACCCTATTATATTTCTTTCTTCCTAGGACTTGTCTAATGTACTACCTAAACTTACTTGTTTATTTGTAATATAGACTGTCTTTCTCATTTTTAATAATTGTCTGCTGCTGTGCAGGGAAGGGATTTCTGCCTATCCACCCTACCTTGCCCCTAAAACAATGCTTGGTACTCACTAGGTGTGCAGTAAGTATTTGAATAGTCCACATTAACATTTTAATTAGTTATCTTATCTTTTCTCCATCTGACCCCACAGAGTTGTCTGAAACAATCATTTTCTCCATTTACTCATGGTTTAGATTTTTCTCAAGCACCTACTGTATATATTTTCAAGTTCTCAAGGAGCAATGGATAACCAGACAAAACCTGTAAGTCCTCACAGGCAGTGACAGACAACATGCAAACTGTACAGTGTGGCAGACAATGACAGAGGGCAAAATGACACAGCAGGGAAGGGGCCTGAGCCCTGCTGGTGTATAAGATCAGATGGTCAGGGGGATGCTGACTTTTAAAAAAAGCACAAATAGCATCCTTAGAAACATTTTTTATACATGTGCCTTTATACAGTGTATTTCAAGCACCACAGTGTGATGAACACATGCTTTACTGAAATAACACCACCTAGATGCAATGAAGTGCCCTTAGAAACATCTTTTCTCTCCGTGCCTTCAAAGTATTATACATCACACTTTAGTGAACAGATTCGTTCAATGAAATAACACTCACCTTATTCATAAATCAACTGGTATTCTTGGAAATATTTTTTATACATGTGTCTTCATGCATTGTGCTCCCTATGCCAGAATGTGGTGAACACACTCTTTAGGGGCTGGCATTTGAACAGAGCCCTGGAAGGAATCATGCCAGCACACAGGAGTAGCTTGGAGGCAGAATGAACAGCCAACACAAAGACCTCGAGGCTGACCCACGCCTGCTGGGTTGAGGAGCATTTAGTGGGAGGCCAACATTACTGCAGCACAGCTCTGGGGTGTAGGGCGATGGAGGTAGGGCCAGAGAGGTGACTTGCTTTACTTACAGGTATTCCTTATTTGCACTGGAGGGGATTCCAGTTCTGATGCTCCCATTTTAGAAATGGGGAAACAGGTGCAGGGAGAAAGTAGTGAAATCATTTATCCAAGGATATGGCTCCTAGCATGGAGCTGGGTGGGTGGATGTTGAGGCCAGGTGTGGAACAGACAGCTCTGCGGACAGAGGGAAAAGCCAAACAAAAGTCTGAAGATGGGAACTAATTTGGCTTTTTAAGGAATAGGGCCTCATGTGAGGAGTAAGGAAATAAGAGAGAAACCTCAAAAATGATCCTGTGCCTGAATATTTACTGGGGCCATCTTTGAGTAAGGTATTTAACCTCCCTATACCCCAGTTTCTTCAGTATTATCTCATACAGTTGTGATGAGGATTAAATGGGCTTGTGAATATATAAAATACTCTGCCTGGTACATAGCAGATGCCCAATAAATGTAACCTCACATTGGCATTTTCATCAATATCTCTAATGTATTTATTTGCTTACTGCAGTGAAGCAGAGTGCCTTCGGGGTTAAGAGCATCTGAGAGGGAGTCTGCGCTACAGTAAAAAGCCCTGGGCTCAACAAGTACAGAGGCTGATCTAAGAGATGAGAGGCTGGGAAGATCACAGACTGATCCAGCACAAGATTATAGGAGGATATGGTATGTGGGGTTTTTCGGGGAGTGGGGTGGGGGAGAAGTGTGTGTGTGAAAGCAAGGACAGGGGGAGTAAACAGGCCAAGAAACATATCACTAGAAAGATAGGAGGTTACCGTGTATCTTCTGCCGAGGTGAGTAAACAGGTCAAGAAACATATCACTAGACAGATAGGTGGTTACAGTGTATCTTCTGCAGAAAAACTTACTGGAAAAGCCATCACAGCGATTAAAAGGAGAGAGACAAGGTCACACTGCAAATGAAAACGTATAAAGCACCAAACTGACCCATTATTAAAAGAAGGGGAAATGCCCAAGGACGGGAGTCTACAAATAAGGGAGAGTCAGGGCAATGGATTAATAACTGGGGGAATGTGAACACAACATGTAGACTGATCCACTATAAGATGGGGTGGGGTGGGGGGAAGCCATGGTTTGATGCATTGGGGTTGGAGGTGTCAGAAATAAGAACCCAGAGGGACTCATCGTTGGGGGGAGGGCCTTACGGCGTTACAGATTGATTCACTAGAAGGAAGGGGTGCAATAAACAAAGCTACAGACAGTTCTCCTGAAAGTTGAAGCTTGGAGAAATACAGACACTCAGATGCCCGTACTATTAAAGGGGTTGGGCAATGCTGCAGACTGGTACTAAGTGAGGAGTGGGGAGACAAGACCATGAAGGACGAGTCCACTGTAAGTTGGGGTGGAAAGAAATATAAGCACGCAGACCAATCCATTACAGAGCGGGAGAGGGAGGTTGGGCCACGGTCAGATCCAAAACAAGAGGCGAAGGGAGGGGGCAATGCCACACGCAGGTCCACCAGCCTTGGCGGTGGGGAGCCCAAAACCAGCAGGCCACCGGCCAAGCCACATCCCCCACGCGGGGGCGAAAAGGATATATGGGGTCACGGATAGGGCCCTTCACTCTCCAGGCCCTGGGCTCACCTGTGCCTGGTGCAGTGGCGGCGTAGGCAGCTCCGGGGGGCGGGGGCTCCATACGCAGCCCCACCGCCCCCCAGGCCTGGGTTCCGAGGCGGCGGCGGCGGCGGCTGCGGCGGCGACGGCAGCAGTGCCAGTGCTGGCGGCTGCGGCGACAGGAACACCTAGAAGCCACCCCTGCGTTTCCCCACCGCTCACGTGGGCCCTTAGGGGAGGAGCCAAGCGACCCGCCGCTCGCTGATTGGCCAAATACCTTAGCTCTACCGCACAGTTTCGGGGGGCTAGGGGCCGGGTCCTAACCCACAGAGCTACATCATGATTGGCTCAAAGGGAAATGATGGACCGCGGCCGGTCGATAGAGTCCGGGTGAAACGGGCTTTGCCTCACTGGTGCCCCACGCTGATTGGCTCAACGAAGACTGCTAGGGTGTGAGCGATTTACAAGGCTTGGGAGATGCCCACTTCACATAGATTGGCCTAAGGAGAAATTGATGGCAGTCAGCCCGCCTATGAAGAAGGGGGTAAGTGGGTTCTGTTTTTAGCTGATTGGAGGACTAGAGACTCCTAGACAGCTGCCAAAATACCTAACAGGCAATGCTGCACGCCACGCCGCTCAGCGGAAGCAGGACTTTTATAGAAATGGGCAGAACAGCAAGCAGGAAGAGGGTGGGGCCAAAGCCTGCGTAGGCAGGCAAGGGTAACTGTATGGTGATTGGCGAGAAAAGACGAATTTAGAATTAACAGAGGTAGGCGGGATGGCTGTCAAGACTAGCAAAATTCTTTGAATGGCAGAAACTAAATGTCTACAAGGAAGGCAGGGTCCAGTAGGGCTAGAGGGCAGAACCTGGCTCTTTTGGAGGTTAGCAGGACTCAACCTAGAATGGGGCTGGAACAGGAAGGGCAGGATCTGTGCCTGTTGATGTAAGCTGGATCCATTTAGAAGCAGGGCCAGGACCAAGGTCAGGCTGAGACAGGTATGAATTATTTAGGGTACCTAAGAAACTACTGGAGTGTGGAAGGGAAACAACGTCAGAAGTGATATGCTGATGACCATGTGAACAAGCCTCTATCTTGAATTCTCTACTGCATTTCAAAAGGTGGTGTCCCAGAAAAGGAAGAGTGAGATGGGGCCCAGGTTGTCAAGGTGACAGAAAAGTGGGTAGAACAAAAAGTCAAAGCAAATACTGTCAGTGAGCTGGAGGAAAGACTTCTGGATACTTTAGATTTCTAGATACTGAATCTGGTCTCCCAGTAATTTTGTGATTTAGAAAGTAGGAACCTTGGAAACCAGCAAGGGTTAGGGGGAAAAGAAGGGCCACTTGACTCAAAGGCATTCAAGTTCTTTAATGTCACACGAGGACTAGAAGAAGAAATCAAAGGTGAGATGTCTCTGGAAAGTTCTGCAGGCCTTGTAGTTCTCTAAGCCCCTGCAAAAGAGGACAAACGATACTAAACTGACGGTTTGGCTCCATGCCTCACTGTGGCCTTGCTTTGACTCCCCCTCCTTGGCTTCAGTTTAAAGGGAAAGATGGTCTTTCCCTTCTTTGGCTTTCTCCCTTTTCCAAGTGACCATCCTAAACACATCTAGAGAGAGGGTCTGGCAGTGGAGTGAGTTGCTCTCACCTCTAGCAACATGTGGATATGGGCCTTGATATTCATGGAGTCCTTGGTGAGGCTGTTGCTGAGCCTGGAGAAAAGAAATAAGAAAGGGCAAAGTGGACCCCACTGAGGGTTATAAGGATGACCCTTCCTCAGCATTTCAAGAACTATCTGCATTTTTGATGACTTCCCCCTGGCCAGGTTCTATGCAGAGATGGCTAGCCACCATCTGGACCTCATGGATTCAAAGATGACTGAATGCATATTGTATACCAGGCCGTTTTAAAGTGCTGGGAATATGACAGCAAACAAAAATTCCAACCTCAGAGATCTCAAATTCTTGCTATGAGAGACAAATATATGATGTAATAAAATACATGGTAGGCCTGGGATTTAGCTCAGTGGCATTAAGTGCGTGCCTGGCAAGCATGAGGTTGTGAGTTCGATCCCTGGTACCAAAACAACAACAACAAAACAACCTAAAAAACAAAACAAGTAAAAAACAACAAAGATGAACATAAAATAAAATACATAGTATGTCAGATGGTTGTAAGTACTGTACAAGAAAAAAATGGAACAATGAAGGAGGATAAGTAGTTAAACAGAGCATTTAATTCAATATTTAAAGAAAGGGAAGAAATTAATATTGTGATTATATGCCACATGTGTTCCACACATAGGGGGCAGCCAATACAAAGGCACCAAGATGGGCATGTGCCTGACATGTTTGAAGAAGAATAAATGAAAGGGTACTGTTAGAGGTGAGGTCAGAGCGTAAGGAGAGAGGCAGATCTTGGCTTTTATACCTTGGCTTTTATACCAAGTGAGGGTTGTGAGCAGAGAGGGAAACTGACTGGGATTTAGGAGGATTCATCCGGCTTCTGGGCAGAGAAGTGACTGAGAATAAGGAGCTAATGTGAAGACAGAAGTGTACTGAAGGGAATACTGCAATAGGCTGGGTGAGAGATGGAGGGTCAGGTGACAGTGGCAGCTGTTAAGGTAGTAAAAAATAACTGAATTTGGGATTATTTTGAAGATAGAGCCAACAGGATTTATCAAAGGTTTGGACATCAGGTGTGAGACAGGACTCACGGAGGAGGCCAAAGTGTAAGGAACTGGGAAGTTGGAGTTGCCTGCAACCACCCTAGCCCTGCACTTCTGGGTTATACAAACCAGTTGGTTCCTTTTGTTTAAGGCTGTTTGGATCAGGCCTCAAGAAAAAGGATCTTGGGGATTTAACTCAGCAGCATAAGTGCCTGCCTGGCAAGGAGGAAGTTGTGAGTTCAATCCTTGGTACAAAAAAATCTCAGCTGGCAGTGGTGGCACACAGCTATAATCCTAGTACTCAGGATGCTGAGGCAGGAGGATCTTCATGAATTCGAGGCTAGCCTAGGCTACATAGTGAGACCCTGTCTCAAAAAACAAACAAATGAATAACCAAAAAGAGTGGTCTTTAAAAAAAATGCCTGAGAGGCAGGAAAGAGGAGGAGCAGCTAGAAGATAAAAGTGTTAGACATTCAGTGAATGGTAAAGGGAGGTGATATATGATAAGGTTCAAGTGATCAGAAGGGGCTAGCTCAAGCAGAGTCTTGAAAATATGACAAAAAATGTGAATTCTATTGTGCTGAGCTATCTGTCAATATAGGACTCAATTTGAAGTATAAATAAAACTAATAATGTATAAGAAATAAATAATAATGAGCTAGGATGTTAAGTTGGAAAAAACATATATGAGCCTAATATATACCAGCATCTCGCAAATCTATATTGCTAATCCAGACTTCTCTCCTGCACTTGACTTGGGAGTTTTAATTACATCTTCAAAAAATCCACATCAGTGTTTAATAATTTCATAATTTCCAGACTAAATTCCTGATCTTCCTCTCCTAATTTGCTCCTCTCCGCTTCTTAATCTCAAACAATGGAAACTCCATGGTTCTAAATTGCTCAGTAAACACTTAGATCCCCTTCTCATTTTCTCTTTTTACCTGTGCTAAGGATGGAACCCAGGGCCTCATACATGCTAGGTAAGTGCTCTACCTTTGAGCTGCACCCACAGCTCCAAGACTCCTCTCTTTTTCTCACACCTCACATCCAATCATTCATTCTATGTAAAATCAGTGGCTTCATCCTGGGCAATGCTTCCAATCTCTGTCATAGGCTCTTTGCCTGTAGCAGTGTCAACATTTTTACTTGTTTATGGCCTGTCTCCTTTAATTGGAAGGTCAGCTGCACAGTGGTAATAATTTTTAGTCTGTTTTATCTCCTGCTGTATCCCCAGAAACCAGAATGATGTATGACAGAATAGACATCCAAAGGATGTTGAATAAATAAAACAAAAGACTACTTCACCCAAAGGAACCTGAAGTTCTCAAAAGACATCTGAGTTTATGTTTAAGGACACCAAGTAAAACACGGTGTTCTTGCTGGAGACCATCTACACTTACAAGAATATCTGGGATAGTACTCAAAAATCTTAAGAATGGACTTTATCAGCATCTAAGGGACAATTTGAACATCAAAAAAGAAAAAAAATTAGTTAATGGTACAAGATTAGTGTATAAAATACTCAGTTCACTTCAAAGGAAATAAGAGGGCTGATGGTATAGCTCAGTGGGAGAGTATGTACTTAGCATATACAAGGTCCTGAGTTACCCCTCAGCACCAAAAGAAAAAAAGTAGAAAAGATTAAAATACAAAGTTCATCAAATGCTAATTATATACAAAAGATAAATTTAGTCCATTACTACTGATTTCATAAAGCAATATTAAAATTCATGTTTATGCTTTCTTCTATAATTACATTTCTATATATAAGATGTGTATGTGTTCTTCTTTCTGTGTAATCACAAAAAAAGCATACACGGAGACATTTTTTTTTCTTCAAACAGAGAACTATACTAAGAACGGGTTATAAAATAACCAAAAAGAAAGTTTATTTACAAAGTAACCGAGTATTTCAAATAGGAGAGCCAGCTACAGACTCAAATCCTCATCTTCTAGAAAGATTAAATTTTTAGACAGTTTCTCAGAAAGCAATATGAGGTTCAACCACTATTTTCATGACACAAAACACCCAGATCAATATTACAAAAAAAGCAAAAGAGACAGACATGAACAATTTAAAATATCTCATTTGGGGGAACGACATAAAATTTCAAAAAATTAAAATCTACTATTTTTTTTGTCTTTTTGAGACAGGGTCTCACTATGCAGTTCAGGCTGGCCTTGGGCTCACTTTGTAGCCCAAGTTGGTCTCAAACTTGCGATGATCCACCTGCCTCAATGTCCCAAGTGATGGGATTACAGGAGTGTGCCACCATGCCCAGCTAAATTAAAATCTATTTGAAAGACCCAAAAATCCTGTGACAAAAGAAGGAAAGCTTTGTTATAAGAATTGGACTTGCTCTAAAGGGCCACCAATTCAGAATTGTGCTGACTACAAAAGCTTTGAAGCAACCCTCCCCTGCAAGCTCCTCGCTACTTGGTCTGATCATCAAGATTGAGAAATTTCAGCAGGTCTCAGGTCCACTAACAACAAAACCCTGCAAAGTTTTGACAGGATAAAAGGAAGTGATTCTAGAAGAATGGAGGCATAAACATAACCAAGAAGAAATGTCACATCAATGGTATTCTTGTCTGTGAGATGTTAACAATCTAAGTTTATTTCCCAATGGCTCTACACTCATTCCATCTGAGATACGCTTATCTGTTGGCAGTCTGTGGGCACACTAGGTACACTGTACCCTTCATCAGGAATGTTCTTCCCCAGAGGGCCCTATGACTTGTTCACTCAGATGCCCCAAATGTCACTTCTTTTGAGAGGCCTTTCCTACCTGCATTTCAAACCCCAGATCCATGCTCCAATTGCCCTTTCCTGCATAAAAATTAAACTCATTTGAGCCCACACTTTCTTTCTTCAACACTATCTACATAGTTTTCCTTCAAGCACTACTTCATTTGCTTCCAACATAGACTTTTAAATTCATTCAACAAACAGTGTCTATTATATGCTGTGCACTATTCTAGTTATGTGAGGCACAGACAAAAACTCTCCCTTTATATAGTTTATCACATAACTGGAAGAGATGAATGAGAAAGAAATAAATTACAAAATAAAGATTAAGAGGTAATAATTGTTGGAAAAAAAGAAAACGTAAAAGGAAGGAAGGGAATCAAGAGTGCTAGGATTTGCGATTTTAAAATTTAAAGTCTGGACACAATTGGCATAGTTGAAGTGATATTTAAGTAAGACAGCTGAGTGAAAAGAAAGGAAGCCACATGGGAAGACACTGCAGGCAGAGAGAACAGCCACTGCATGTGCCCCAAGGTGGGATCATTTTGGGTTGTTTAAAGAAGCATTTGAAGGTCAATGTGGTGATAGCAGAGAATAAGCAGGAAAATTAGCAGGAAGTAAGTGAGAGGTAACTTGTTTAATTGATACTATCTTATTGGTGGTAGCCTCATAGATTTGGTAATAATTTTATGTATGTATAACTGAACAGTCCCTCTAGAATGTAAGCCTTCATCCTTGCTCCAACTCATCACTAGATTCCCTATCACCAAGCACAGAGCCTGGTGTACAGAAGGTACTCAATAAATTTTTTGTGAATAAATGATACAAAGACCATTTATTGGTGCTTATCATACAGTACACCTGGGCTGAGCTAGGCATCCCCACTTCCCTCAGCCCCAGCCCTGAGGAGACAGGAAGCTAGGTGCTTATGTATCATCCTAGGTAGCCATGGAGAAAGGCAGAAGAGTTAAAAATGGTGGTGCTTTTACTCGTTTATGTATTTTTTTTGGTGTAGTGCTGGGGATGGAACTCATGGCCTCATGTATGCTAGGCAAGTACTCTACCGCTAAGCTACAGCCTCAGGTAGTGGCGGTGATTCAGACACTATCCTTAGGGAATGGACTTACTCTGTGAGGAGAGAGCTCTTACGATCAATGAACTTGAGAGCTTCTGCCAGTGTCAACTCCAGGAAGAAACCGTATCCCAGGGCCACATATATGCGTGAAGTATCAGAGCTGAGGAAACAGAGGTCAGAGGAAGTGGAGAAGTCCTTATTACTGTTTAGCATACCGTATAATATATTAAAATGCTTCTCACTCCCTCCCCTTTCCCAAACAGAGGCTCTGGAAGGGCAGTGATTTTGTTCTAGTTTATTTATTCATGGTCACATCTCCCAGTACCTACCTGATATCTAATAAAATATAAAAGCTAGTATAGTGTCTGGCATATAGAAGACACTCAAGAAACATTTGTTGTATGAAGGAAGGGGGAAACTGAACCCTGTGGACTCAGAGGGGTGGGTAGACACTCACACCACTGTGTCAACGAAGAAGTTACAGCCCAAATCCACCTGCATATATAACTCCGAGTGCTTAGTTTCCTGTGGGGCCATGGAAAAACAGATAGGTATCAGTGATCAACTTTTAGGCTAGGTGATAGGTCTTAGTCTGGAGTCCCTATTCCCATCTCTCTCCTCTTTCCCTCCTTCAGAAAAATTGGTATCTAACCCTGAAGTCTTTACCTGGAGTCGCTCAATGACATTTTTCAGTTGAAGGTATTTGGCCAGCTGCTCATATATTTTGTCTCGATGGTCCAGCACCTTTCTGATAGGAGAAAATATAATGGTGATCAAGAAGCAGCCCTGTCCTTTTAGGGAGTACCTCACATCATGCCCCAAACAGGGATTTTAATGCTGGCATTTCAATTCTGGACTCTGTGTTAGACTGCCTTGGTTTGAATCTGAGCTCTCTCTTTTACTAGCTGCATGGCCTCAGAAAGTAAGAAATCTGTTTCTGAGCCTGGCGTGGTGGTGCATACCTGTTATACCAGCACTGGAGAGGCTGGGACTAAAGAATGGCTGTGAGTCTGAGGTCAGCCTGGGCTACATAGTGAGTTCAAGGCCAGCCTCAATTACATGGCAAGATGCTGTCTCAGGAAAAAAAAAAAGGGAGGAAGAGAGAAAGAGAGGGATCGATCTGTTTCTTTTACCACACCTGGCTCTCAGTTTGCTCATTTAAAAAATAGACATCATAGTATTATTTCCTAAGAGTCTTTAGGATTAAACAAATGTTTACTATAAATCATTTAGAATAATGCCAATCAAATTTAAGTTCTATATACTTGTTAGCTATATTTTATTACTATTATTGTACTGTACTCCCAATGCTTCCTGCCAATTGAAATGGCCCATCCTCACTCTAGAAAAAATTACTCATTCTTTTTAGGATGCTCAAAAGGTCTAGATTTGAATGCCTTACTTTCTGATCACATTAATGTTAGCAACAACAATTCTTCATATTCACTGAGTCTCTGATATGTTTCAGGCATGTACAATAACTTTTTTTTGATACAGAGTTTCACTATGTAGTTCAGGCTGGGTTTGAATTCACCTTGCAGCTCAGGCTGGCCTTGAACTCATGGAGATCATTCTGTCTCAGCCTACCAAGAGCTGGGATTATAGGTATGTGTCCCCACACCTAGCTCAATAAATCCTTTTTTTTGGTACCGGAGTTCGAACTTACGACTTCGCGTTGTTAAGCAGGAGCTTGTGCCCCTGAGCTAACCCTAAATTCTTTTCCTTAAAGAACCTATTTAGTTTTTATGTTTATATATATGTTTACCATTTTTGTTGTTGATTTTTATTGAGATATGGTCTCCTTGCCCAAACTGGGTTTGAACTATTTATGCGTCCTGCCTAACCTTCCTGAGTACATAGCTGGGAACACAGGAATAGAACCACAAGCCTAACCTTGTGCTGAAATTTTTACAAAGGCTGAACACATTGGAAATTCAAACTCGCCGTGTAAGTTTCCATACACTTCCCTATTTTGCATATGAAGAGAATTTACAAGGCAGAGAAAAAAAGGTGATGTACAAAGTATTTAAGATGGCAAACTGGGCAAGCTAAGACTCAAACCTGGAAAATAGTTTGGGAAATCTAGCACTAATCCAAAACAAAAAACCAAACCAACAAACCAACAAACCTCAAAAACCCCACCCACCCAAAGACGCGCGTGCGCAGATATGCCCTCTGCTTTGACAGCCTGGTTTTAGCCAAATCTCACCGGACGTGTCGCCCCGCCCCATTACACACATGTAACAGCGCCAAGGATTAGACTTCCAGCTCACCAATCCGAACGATTGGCCCAGCCTCTGAACGCCCCACCCACCACGTGGGATGTTCCAAATGCCACGCCTCTCGCAGTTACTCACTGCAAATCCCGCTGCAATACGTCACTGATGAAGGCCTCATAGCGCAGCACTTTCTCCCCGGTGGTTTCCACCGCCCGCCGTTTAGGGGGTGTCGCCATGATGAGCTCCTGGGGAATAGGTATGGGGGAGACCACGTTGACCGTGTCAATTTGACATCAAGCACAATTCAACTCCACCCTCTAAAGGATAGAAATAGGCTCTTTTGGCACATGCAGAGGGGGTTCCGCCTTCTGGCCCTCCCAACTCCGGGACTTCTTCACCCCGGGACGCCCAAAGGTGGCCCTTACCTTTGGGCCGCCGGCAGTGAGAACTATTGGTATGAACCGTGGCTTCCGGGTGGCGCGGATAAATGACACAGGAGGAAACACATTGACCAATCAAATAGGCATTTAAGGCGAGGCGGTCCTAAACGGAAGAAGACTGGCCAAAGGGAAAACGGGAGGGGCGGGCTTTACGGAATCCAGGAGATCACGGAAGACTGCAGAGTTTGGGAACAAGGATTGTCGGGCTTAAAAGGGCCAATGGGGGAATGTGAATGCAGTACGCGGAGCCTGTGGGGACCTTGCCTGACAGATGGAGGTGGAGTTTAATGGGATTTGGCGGGTTCTGGGGGAGGTAGGTAGAAGTGAAACATTTCGAATTGAAAAGGCACGCCTTTAGTTCCACCACTCTGGAAGTTTAAAGCGGAGGATCGCAAATTCAAGCCCAGCGTGGGCAATTCAGCGGTTTGGCGAGACCCTGACTCAGAATAAAAAATAAAAAAAGGGACTAGTGGGCTGGGGATTTAGCTCAGTGGCATAAGAGCCTGCCTGGCAAGTACAAGATCGCGAGTTTGATCCCCGGTACCAAAAAAAAAAAAAAAAAAGGGGGAGAGATTGGGTCTGGAGATGTAGCTCATTGTGAATGTCCCAGCCTAGATTATGTTCTCCACTCCGGGGCTGAAGTGAGAGTTGGGCCTCGAAAGCAGCCGAGCCGGAACTGATTAGTCTTCTAATCTGTGAAGAAGGGATAATATTCCCTGTGATCTGTTGCTCTGGATATTGTTTGTTTACAAGAGAAGTTTGGGTTTTACTCCCGGTAATGGGAATGACTGAACATTTTTTTTAAAAAAGCATTTAAACGGAGACAAATTTCCTAAAGTTTGTCTCTAATTAGACTTCCAATTCTGTAAACCGCAGTCCGTAATTGACGCTCACATGGAAAATGACAAAGCACTGTCTGTAATACTTCACTTAACAGTCAAATGAAGGGTCCCTGAAGTTCTCTGCTGTGGATAGGCTAACTTTAGGAATAGTTCCTGAGTTTTTTGTTTAAATGTGTACTTTTTTATAAATTTATTTTTATACACTCGAGTGAACACATTTGCTTCTCATATTAGATTTTCATACAGTAGCATCTAGTCCAGCAGCTCAAGAAATGAACCTGGAGAACCCAGACACTAGGAATTTATCCTGCCATATAACTTGTGCTTTTGGTGTGTAAAAGCAAGATTCGGTGGTTTGGGTTTTTGTTTTGTTTTCTTCAAATGTGCAAAACCTAAGGAAGCCAAGCTTTTCTTTGCCTTTAAAGCAAGGCGATTTTTAAGAAAACATTGAGAATAAAACAATTTTTAAAAACCTGCCAGGTGTGGTGGCACATGCCTGTGATCCCAGCAATCAGGAGGATTGTTGCAAGTTTGAGGTCAACTTGGTTTATATACAGAGACACTGTCTTTAAAAAAAATTTCTACTGTTCAACCAGGAGACCCTGTGAAGATTCACCCTGTCTTGAAAAACCAAACCAACAACAAAAAACCCAAACAAGTCTCATGTTACTTTTGGTTAAAATTATATTTGGTCTTGAAAAGGACAATAGAAGGGCTGGGAATTTAGCTCAGCGGTATAAGCTCCTGCCTTGGAAGCAGGCAGTTGTGAGTTCAATCCCCGGTACCGATTAAAAAAAAAAAAAAAAAAAAAAGGAAGCCGGGCATGGTGGCTCATGCCTGTAATCCCAGCACTTGGGAGGCTGAGGTGGGAGGATCGTTGCGAGTTCGAGACCAGCCTGGGTTACAAAGCGAGTTCAAGGCCAGCCTGAACTGCACAGCGAGACCCTGTCTCAAAAAAAAAAAAAAAAAAAAAAGAAAGAAAAGGACAATAGATACTTAAAACAAATATTATTCTCCTAATCTGTACAACTTTCTTGTGAAAAGAGAGAGAGAACGTGTATTGTCTTTACAGTCAGAACATAGTTGTTTTGGTACTGGGGATCAAACGCATGAACTTTTGCTTACTGGGCAGGTGCTTACACCACTGAGCAAAATCCCTGGCTTCTACAATATAATTTGAATGGGCTGGAGATGGTTCTGTGCAAGTTAGTTTATTTATCTGTTTATTGAGAAAGGATCTCACTGTGTGGTTCAAGCTGACCTTGAACTTGCTTATGTAGCCCAGCCTGTCCTTGAACTCATGGCAATCCTCCTCCTTCAGCCTCCTAAATTTTAACATTACAGGCATGGGCCACCATGTCCCACTGTGCAAGTTTATTAATTTAACAATTTTAAACTTAGTTTCCAACTATACTTTTACATTTCAAACCTATAGAAGAGTTGACACTGAATAACCCTTAGGGCCTTTACTGAAGTTCACCATTTGTTACTATTTGGCAACATTTGTTTTCTTTTCTTTTCTTTTATCTTTTTCATTTTTATTGGGAGCAGGGATGGATGGCCTGCTTGCAAGGCAGGTGCTTATGCCGCTGATCTAAATCCCCAGCCCCCATTTGTTTTCCTCTCTCCAGAACACTTACTTAATGCTTGCCATAAATGCACAGTATTCCATCATGTGGATGACTTCAGATGTTTGAGCCATTCCTCTTTATTAATTTTTTGTTTTTTGGCGATAAGGTCTTATTATGTAATTCAGGCTGCCTTTGATCTCAGCAATCCTCCTGCCTTAGCCTCCCCAGTGCTGAAATTATAGGTATGTGCCACCATGTCTGGCTGGATATTTGAATGTATAGTTTTTTTTTCATTGTTATAATCTAGGATAGATAAAAAAAATTTATTAATGACTTTCAAGTTTTTGTGTGCAATTTTGATTATTTCCTTGTGATAAATTTTAGAAGTAGAATTTATGGACAGGCATGGTGGCAAATGCCTGTAGTACTAGCACTCAGGAGGCTGAGGCAGGATACTGGGAGTTTGAGGCCAGCCTATGTTACATAGAGAATTCAAGGGCAGCTTGAATTGCATAGTGTCGATGTCCGCTCCCGGCCGGCAGGAAGGACACACGACACAGTCTGGTAGTGGACAACCTTTTCTTTTTATTTTCCTTCTCCGTACAGCCTGCCCTGGGTTCTCCCAGCTGAAGCCTCCTTTGGTCCGCTCCCCGCGGCTCCTTTTGGGCTTCTACTTCCGGGCTTCTATCTGGCTTCTACTTCCGCCCAGGGGTGGCACCGGTATATATACGGGTACAGTGTCCAATCATGTTAAAGTAAGCAAGGCAAGCTGATTGGCTAACATCATCAGTTGCCAGGCAGACTATATTGTTGAGCGGGTTGTTTACGCGGTAAGCAGGAAACTAACATATTCGATGGGAGGGGTAATCTACCTCAGGCCTCACTCTTTACTACAGGCCTCACGTCCGCCAAGTGAGGCGACCGGGCTCGGGGCTGCGGCTCCCAACATCTCCCCCTTTTTTATTTTTTATGAATGTGCGCATCGTAGCCCTTCCTGGACTGGGTGCAGAGGCTTATGCCCTATGTGTAGGCCCACCGTAGGTCCTTGGCTTAGACCCTGGTCGGCCGTCCCATGGTCTGCCAAGGCCCTGAGGCCCTCGTCCTTTTTCTAGGGCCAGGCACAAACTGGACGGAACCTGGATGCACACAAGCTTGCACTCATTTTCTCTCCGTAAAGAAATCCCCTCGGAGAGAAATTTAGACCTGGGCAGCATCTAACAGTCCAGCGGCTTACGTGCAGGATGGGGTAGGGCCTGGCTTAGGTCGAGTCGTGCTGGGGAGGCACGCTCTTACCCGTCATTGACTCATCTACCCTGCTATGTATTGTCACCTTATGGAGGAGAATGAGGGATGCCCGCCATATCTAGACTCGGTCGTGGGCCAATTGAGCAAGCCATGCATATGCCTGAGGATCTTCTTGTCCATTTCGGGCTACCGCTATTTCTATTCATCTTGTTGGTTGGTCTGTGATGGATCTCCAGTAGGGCAGGTCTGATCTTCAGTCGAGGGCTTTGTCGTCCGTGTCAGTCTCTCCGGTATCCACAGTGGTTCTCGTCCCGGTTCCTGTGGGAAAACACAAACCGCGCCTCGGTTCCAGCTGACCACTGGATCCGGGCCCATCCATTGTCCTGTCAGGACATCTTTCCACTTCACCCACCCTTTATGGTTGGGGGAAGGGTTGCAGTGCTCCACAGCTGGGGAGCGATTATCATTATTTAAATTTAAAAAATTGTGTGTGAATAGTGCCATGGATAATCGTGCCTTTGGGGCCAGGCCTTGGCCTACTCCCCCTTTTTGTTTTTGTAAAATTTCTTTGAGGCTTCTATGAGCCCTCTCAATGATTCCTTGACCTTGGGGATTGTATGGGATACCATGTTTTAATTGAACCTCCATCATTTTGCAGAACTCATTGAAAGCTTTGCCTATATAGGCTGGTCCATTATCAGTTTTTAATATTTTTGGTTTGCCCCATGCGGCCCAAGCTGCCAGGCAATGATTGATCACATTAGACACTTTTTCACCTGTTTCTGCTGTTGCAAATATGACGTGAGAACAGGTGTCTGTGGAAACATGAACATATTTAAGAGTCCCAAACTCCTGTATATGTGTGATGTCCATCTGCCAAACATCACCAGGGATCAAACCTCGAGGGTTTACTCCCATTGGTATGGCAGGTTTGTATGTGGCACAGGAGTCACATAGTCGCACGATATCTCGTGCATCTGCTCTAGAAACATGGAAATGGTTTGCTAGTGTCCTGGCATTGACATGAAACTTATCATGGAAGGCACGGGCTCGCTCGATTGGTGTTAGTAAGGTAAAAATCCATAACGGGCGAGTGGCAGTGTCAGCAGCCGCATTCCCCTGTGCCATAGGCCCTGGCAGGGATGTATGTGCTCTTATGTGGGTGGTGAAGACCTTATGGTGCCTGTTCTGAAGCAATGTCTGGATAGACAGGAACAGCCCTCTAAGATCTATAACATAAACTGGCCAGGACTGAGGGATGGCTGAGAGAGCTGGCAGCCCCCTCTGGACCGCCCCCAGGGACTGCATCTGCGCGTTGACCGCCCTTAGATCATGGAGCAGCCTCCACTTGCCAGACTTTTTCTTAATTATAAAAATGGGGGTGTTCCATGGGGAGGTTGACGGCTTAATATGTCCTAATCTAAGTTGTGTACTGACTATTTCTGACAAGGCTAATAGCTT